TATCCAGTGACGACAGTTGCTATCGCTTCATGAAGCTCCTGGGATTACTTCATCCATTTGTTCATTTTTTTCCCCGTTTATGCTTGCCAAAAGGCGATTTTCGTCCATCCCTGGGTCTTGACTAGAGTCGTTGGCGACGGTCCGGAACCTGATCCCGCAAGCAGGCCTTATTCTGCCTTGTATGCACTTCTGTGTCCATATTGAAACAACACTTGTTATCATACATAAGCTGAGGCCCAAAAGAATGGAAGCAATGTCCATTCTTTTGGAGCCACTACGGTACCAGCGAATTAGTCTCCCACCGGTCACGGTGCTACGCACCCAGCCAGGCTTTGCAAGCTCTCGTGTACTCGAGTGGAACAGCGCAGTAGGAGATAGGCCTTGGAGACTGGTTTCGAAGCATCGCTCCGTGCCATTAAAATCTAAAAACGAATTGTATGAAGGGGGTAATGAGGCAAATTAACAAGAGGTCAAAATTGTTCTTGAGCAAACGTTAGTTTTAAGAAGTCCTGGCCAGTAGCGTGATTTATAAGATTGTAGAATCGGTCCATACATACTAAATCAACCGGACGGGATCCCAACCGATGGTGGCGACTATTCATATTGTGAGACAGCGAGTTTGGTTATCCAAATAACCATGAAAGTGATCCCCACCCAGTCGACTAGTTTGATCTATGCTCTTAAACGGAGCTTCACTCATAAATGGGAAAGAGGATAAAGGATGAAATCACGATGATTGAAGTATCCTAATCTAATCTAAACATATATGGTATGGAAGTTCTTTATTGCTTGGACTTTCATTTCCTATTAAGGTGTATAAAGAAGATATTCAAATGTCGATCTCACCAGGAGATGGCGGTTAAATCTCGCTGTACTGCAGCCGTTTGGCTTTTATAAGACGTTGAGATTGACGCAGTCCACGAGACCTCCCTCTTTTCGGGTGAGAGCGGGCTGAGTTCTCGTCCATCATACGATGGACATCATCATAAAGGGTAATTAGTTTCCAGGAAAATATTTGCTATCCGCTCGTTTCATACTTCTAAGAATGATTGATTTCAAAATTCCAACTTTAGTCTTGCAATTATGGATGAAAAGAAAATTAAGCAGAGCCAACATGTTGGCTTCCTATAAACATCTCTTCATAACCTGCCCTCTTATCTAATGATGAGAACGTCCAGGAAAGGTAAGGACTTATTCTCTTCCATTTCCATCGTGAACCTAATGCTCCTTTCACGCTGGTTGAGTGAAAATATGAAACTATCTAAATTGTCCTTACCATGAGGCCAGATGACGAAATAGTCATCCATTTATCTAACCAACAATTTAGGTGTTAGTATTGCCTCTTGCAGGAAGTGTTCCTCCAATTTTGCCATATAATTGTTCGCTAAGATGGGAGACAGGCAAGATCCCATCGCTATCCTTGCGTTTGCTCGTATAGCTTATCGTCAAAGGTAAAATATGTGGTACTCATGCATAGATTAATAAGTCTAATAATGTAAGCAACTCTCAGAGCTTGAATAGCTCCTTGCACATAAATGTTTGCGTACAGACACAACATTAAAGCTTACTAGCTTATCCTCTTCAGAAATTGTCTGCTGATCTAGCAATTTCACAAAA